GTGTCTGCGCCGCGGTCGGTCCGGGCGCTGCTCTTCCTCTTTTGCGTTCCGTCGGCATTACGTTGTCAACTGGCATTTGGGTCGGGGTCTTCTGCGTTTGCATCGCGGTGCATCTGGGAGTCTTTGTTTTTTTTTGATTTGATTTATTCTTTTTCTTTCTTCCACCCCTATTGGCTACTGGGGTTCTTGCCTGCCTGTTACAGTCGTGGCGTCCCACTCTCTCTAACAACTACATTCTTTAACAGGCTTATGCGCACACACATGTACATACACACACATACAGACACATTCACCCACAGCACACAGACACACACAGACACAAACAAACTTAGGTTGTCCCTGGTAGAATTATTCCTGATGCCTTTCTTTCAGTTACTTATTTAAATTAATTATTATTCCAGCTCTCGTGGCTGTGTTGTGTTGCTTATTTAGTGTGTGTGACTGTTTCTTGTTTTCATTGTTCTCTTAGTTGTCTTAATATGTCATTAATATGTCAGCTGTTTATTGCTGCTGTTCGGCTGGTTTTCTTTTACTATTATTATTTTTATTGTTTTTTTTTGTTTGTGTTTGTTTGTTGTTGTTTTTCTCCTCCCCAAGCCCCCTCTCTGTTCTCTTGCAGGTTTCGTTGCTTTCTGCAATTGGTGTTTCCCACAGCTTTTCCCTGTTGTCCCCACCCTCCATCCCCCTTTCCCCCTTCTCTTGCAGGTGTTGTCCTTTCTCTGTGCTGTCTGTTTGTGCCCCCCATCCCCGTGTCTGCCCCCCTGTCCGGCCCGGTGACAAATCAATACATAATTAAATAAATAATAAAACAGACAAAGGAGTATTTTAATACTCTCTTGTTAAAGTAAAATCTGTCTGGCACAATATGGTATCCAGGTCATTATACTCTATACCAGGCTGCTGGGCAGGACAGGTTTAAAAAAAAAAAAAAAAAAAAAGAAGTAGTTTCGCAGACTTTGCATCAATCATTGCTACACTGTCATGATTGGATATAATCATTCCCACTATCGTGGCCTAAAAACACACGGAGCCTAATTTTGAAAAAACTTACTTAGGATTCCGTCAACTTTTTTACGGTCAAGGACCTGCTTTCCTTCCTTTCCTGAGGGGTTGTTGCCAGGGCGACCAAAGGGCACTGCATTTTGACACTCCTCAACAGTGAAGAAATGATCAAAAAGTGCATGAAACAGACGCATGCAATTTGGTTTTGATGCGTGATTCATGGCAGCCAGGCGGAATGATGAGATGAATATGCCGCTCCCAGGAAACAGCTCCTGCTGGCCTGATGGTGAAGCTGGGCTGCCACAATTTCACTCTCCAATTAAGTCGCAGAGAGTCTGAAGCTCTCTGACCTGGCCTGGATCTGAAAGGGAAAAATAGTACAAACAATACAGGAGTGAGAAAATACCAAGCTACTCTTTAAAATGGTTAAAGAGCTTTAAATGGCAGGCAAGTTTATTTTTGAACATAATTAAAACATGCCTAGATAACCTTGCATAGGCTACAACACCACAAGAAAAAAAAATATTTAGAGAGAGACACTTTGGAATATGTCTGTGGGAGGTATATAGAATGAACACTTGAGGGATCATTAATAAAACCAAGGCTTGACAAACAAACCATAATAAAAAAAATAAAAAACTTAAATCTTGTCACAAGAAAACAGTTCCTTTTCATTTTTTTTTCTTGTCATTTTTTGTCAAGCCTTGATTATATTGATTACAGCTGATGTCCTTTGTAATTCTAAACATCTATCTTCCAATGATGTATACCTGAGTATTCCCCTTTTCCACAGCTGATGGTTATTGCACTTATGGGACCAATAGATGCATATACAGTAGCTTGTTCGTGTGGTGTCATGTCTTTCTACATGGCCTGAAGAATGCCTATGTAAGGCCAAACATAGGCATGTTTTAATATGTCCCAAGACTTAAGTAGCCCACCATTAACTAGTGTGTCCCCTACAAAGGCTTTACTTGGGTTGCCCGTCCAAGAAGATGAAACAAGAACTCAAAACTAATACTGCTGCACTTAATTTATATTAATATTGAGGAAAAAGGAGTGAAAATGGATTTTACTTAATTGTACCAGTTCAGATTAATTTGATCACCTTTAGCCCATTTACGCACTTTCATTAAACTATCACAATAACAATTAATATAATGAATTGTTGTGCTGTTAAATTATGTTCATACTATGATATATTATTGCTATAATTTAATTGTTAAGTGTTATTTCTAATTTGCTAACAATATCAAGGATTACGTGCAATAAATAAGCTTAGTTTATAAACCTTCCCATACCATTTATACTTTTTAACGCCACAACCCACTTTTCTGCCTTTTTTCTAGGATAGTTCAAACAGTGTTATGTGTTCAAGGCCCAATCACTAATATAGGTACAGAACAATTACATCACGAATGAATTAGCGATTAGAAATTACTTGCCTATTCTCGAGATGACTTCATCGATCCTTCTCTTTTCCTGTAGGATTCTTTCAAACTCCCCCTTACAATCCTGACATGGTGTCCATGCATTTTCTTGCGGGCTGGCTGCATGGCCTCTGCCAGGTGATGGACCAGAGGTGTTGAGGCTGTACGGTGATGGGCTGGGTGTATGGCCTCCACCAGGTGATGGACCAGAGGTGTTGAGGTCATACAGTGATGGGCTGGGTGTATGGCCTCTGTAGGGTGATGGACCAATGGTCCCACCTTTGGCAGAGCTATAATAAAATTACATGGAACCAGAAATTACATTTCTGTAAACACAAGTTGCCAAGAAGAGATTTGACCAATAACTACAAAGAACTGACTGGCATAGACATAAATGAAGGGTAGATGCTGCCATGACAACTAGGGCTGTCTACTCTTTTTATGCATATGATGGCCAGTACCAATAATGAAAATAAATGTACTATGACCAAAATCTGCAATATTTATAATCATTTTATATACTTTAAAAACATAAAACATTTCAATACTGGAAATAGCTGATCAACAAGATCACAATATGTTGTGACGTGAGCTCGTAAAAAGATGAACGTAAACGATTCTGATCATTAAGCAAAAAATAATAGCAAATAATTTTCTGTGTGTCTGACCATTGTGACTCAGACACACGTGGATTAATCAGTTTGTCCAATAATGTAAGGCAGGAAATAAAAGAGCAGCCTTAAGTTCAGGAAGTAGTGGAGCTGTGCATAGAGCCTATTCTATTATCATAGATTGGATAACAAAGTTATCCTAATGCTGTTTTTTTTTTTTGTTTTGAACTTTGCCAAATCTGATCGGATAATGATAAAAAGTGTTGAACTCATGGGCCCAGGTGATTATGTAATAATTATGACAAACCTACCCATAGGGTGGTGGTCCAGCTGTGTTGCGGCCTGTTGCATGTCCCCCGTCAGGTGATGGATTCAGCGATGGGATTTTCTCGCCATGCTCAGACAGTGGGCTCCTATCTATTGTAATGGTGTCAGACCCTGACGTTATGTCTGATGGCTCATCGCCTTTTAAAATATTTAAAAAGGACTCCTGTGGAGTTGGGTGGCCTTTTGGCAGCTTAGCCTGATCTTCCCCTGAAATATATTCAACTATGGCCTTATAAAATTTACCATCTGACCACTTTGCTAAAACAGGGTCTCCTGATCTAAGATCTTGCAGCTGCACAGGAGCCTCATCTCTTGCCAAAATTTCAGATCCTTTAAAGATTTTGCCGGTATAACCATCCTCCCATCTGACAAATGCAACACACCCTGAGAGAGAGAGAGAGAGAGAGAATATGTTTAATTTCTATTTGGCCACAACAATTTAGACTGGTATTTTTAGACATTATTTGGACAATAATGTTATGATTATTACCCCGTATGTAACAGAAACTATTACGTTAATACTTACCAGATTCCTCATTTGGGGGAGGGGAGCTCAGGTCCTTCATTTTCTGAGTGGGAACCCGTAGCCTCTTTTTTGCTAGCACTTTGTTTTTCTCCATCCTATTAAATGAAAAAAATACATTTTAGATCATTAACGCTAAGTATACTATAAATAGACACTATTTTAACCGTTTTATAACCTATAAAACCACCAAGATTAAAATAATTTAAAGATCATGAACCAAGAATAGGGATGCTATCGTGGTTCATGATCTTTAAATTATTTTAATCTTGGTGGTAGCTTTTGCAGAAAATCTGCTCACAACATACGGACTCGTGACACAATATTTATGAACTTGCAGATCTGAAATTTCAGAGATATTTAACTAGTGTAGAGCAAAAATAGGAGGGCGAGTCCAGTCAACTAAGTCAAATTTAAATTTAATTAAATCATGACCTTTATTTTTTTCACAGCTTTTCCTCATATCATGCAGCCCTAGTTCGGAGTTTCTTTGTCAATTAACTTACTTGTTGGACAGACACCTAATTACCTAAACCATTATTATGATAACGTCAAAAGAATTTCATTCTTACCTCTTCGGCGTGGCAGGGGCAAAAGCCAACAGGTGCAGCAGTAGTGACCAACGGACTTCTCTCACCCCAGCGAAATTACGAATTGGCGCCAAGACCCGCCCTCCAATCTTCTTCTTCTTCTTCTTCTATTTTTATCTGGCGGTTGACAACTTGTTGTTGTATTACCGCCACCGCTGGACTGGAGTATACCCACAGATTATATTTCCTTTATACTATTAAATTATTTTTAAAAGCCCTGTATTCTTTAAAAAAGATAACAACATTTTTATTTGTTCAGGTCCTATCCCCTGACCAATCCGCTAATCCTAACCTTAACCACTCGAGGTGAATAGTCCAATCAATCGTGAGCCATGCAATGAGCTGCTTCGTAGGGCGGGTCTTGGCGCTACCGGTCACGTCTCCCGCGCGTGCAACGTTCAGCTTCTTCTTTTTTTCGGCGGTTACTTCACTGCCTGCTGTGTAGTGTGGGGCAGAAATGGCTCGAGTTTGGAAGAAACAGCAAAGCTCTCTGTAAAGGATAACGACTAACGGTAAATAATAGTAGTGGTAATAGTAATAACGGACACGTTTATCACACATGAGGTAGGATTCTTGGAGTAAGGTCACCGCATTGCGAATGCCACATTCAAGGGGCTACCACTAGCTATGCTAACGTTACTTATCTACACCTAGTTAATAGGCCTACTGTAAATGTTTGTCTACAGAACTCTAGTCTGGCTATCACCAGACCAAGTTCAAGAATCAAATCGCCGGCAGAGAGTGCAGCGTTTACCCAGACTAGCAGAACTCTACTTCAGAGACTCTTCAGAAATGTCAAAACATACGAGAAATACACCTGTGTATTTGTGGAATTATTTGTCACAAAACATGTCTTAGTGACATTGAAACTCTGGTATTCATTCAGTGGTGATCATAAGCCTAGCTGTATTTGTTCTTGATCATGTATATTTCATGCTGCTACATAATTAATAAATTATTTATAAAAATATTAGGAGGTATAATTTACATGAGTTAGTAATACAAATAACTTGCATTAAATTTACATTGTGGTGATCAATTGATCATCAATGATCAATACTTTTGGTACTTAAATAATATGATGTTAATAATTATTTTGTAGTTTGACTTAAGATTTTGAAATTGTGGTACATAACAGTGCAGTAGCCGAGTATTAATAAAACAGCTCTATATTATTTCTGATACCAGTTATTGCTATTATTGTTAAAATGACCGTAGTCTCCCTGTTTCCCCCTGCTGTTCAGTAAACAGAAAATGCATTTTCGGGATATTCATTTTATCCAATTAGGAGAGAGTGGAAGTAGTGGAAGTAAAGTGAAAGTAGAAGTCATAAAATAAGAGAAACTTTATCTATCGTAGGGGGAAATCAAAATGGTACAAGAAATTAACAGAGAAAATTGGAAGTGGAAAATTGACACTTTCTAAGAAATGTATTTCTGTTTACTAAAGAGCTGATTAGATGTAAACCTCTGTTACTGAATAAACGCTTCATCAGAATATAGAGTTTTACTTTTACAAAAAGTTCCACTGTATATTCCATCAACTGGGGTCTGTATTTATATAGTATTGGAGTGTCAAAATGACCAGACGAAAACCTGGAAAACGATGGAGAAGGACTGGTAATGAAGAAGACCCAAATAAACGACCAAGACGGGCTGCACAATTGGTAAGTAGCCTGGCATAGTTGTTTTGCAGTAAATTTGCAGCAGATAGGATATTTAATGCCTTATTTTCCTCCCTGCAGTCATCCCTCCCTGCAGCCACCAGTGTTCATGTGGAGACTGATCAGCAATATTTAGGTAACTTATGAAATGTATTGGTGTGTGTTTAATGTTCAAAAGCCACACCCAGTCCCATGTGCAGAGGAGAGAGAGATCCTGAACAGAATTAGTTCTGATTAAGAATCACAGGCCCTGTAAATAGATAGATTAGTAGATAGAATGCAGTCTACAGTTGGTCAAACCAAGCATGGCAAAATAGCTTTCTCTTATTCTTCTCTTTTTCTTTTTTTTATCTTTTGAGTTTCTTACAAGAAGGTTTCTCACCCGAAATCTGTTTCGGGTGAGAAATCTGAAAAATGTAATTTAAGCAAAATTAGACTCTAATATTGATCTAGAAAAAAGGTGTGAACCACTGATGTGTCCTCTTGTCTGTGTCAGGAGGTAGCAGCAGCAGAACACAGCGGGGGGGGGGTGCCTCCTGGAGGAACCCAAAAAACGCACTTCAAGGGGAACACGTCCAACATCCAGGTGTCCATGCAGGATGTACCCCAATCACTCTCGGACATCTGCCAGGTACACACACCCTGTCTGTCTGTAATGATGTACAGTATATTTTGTCACTGAGCAGGGGTCTCATTTATAAAGCGTGCGTACGCACAAAAAAGGCCTTGAAACATGCGTACGCCACTTTCGACGCATAAGTTGTGATTTATAAAAACAAACTTGACGGGATAATTTGCGCACCTGCACGCAAACTCTGACCCATGCGTACGAACGTTTTGGAGACGGCGCAGTTTGGCGACACCGATGGTAAGCTGGAGTTAAATGTCTTTTTGGTCACTTTTAGGCAGAAATCAAAGAAAATTATACAGCTACAGAAAGATAATAATTTCACTCACCAAGCATATCACTTGAAGCAAATATCCATCCATTCTTAAATGTCCGCGTCAGCGAGCGTGTTGGGCCGTTTAGTGAAACTGACGCATAATATAGCCTGACGTAAAACCGTAAATCTTCATTATGAGTAGTATTCATAAATAGGCTACAGTGCATGTTCACAATAACAGTTTAAATAAATAAATTAATTTACTAAACTATATGTTTTACTTCTAATATTAAACATTTAGATTGAATATGCCATTCTCATTGGAGTTAAACACTTAAAATAGGCCTACATGAAATCATTACATCGCCAGACAAGTTCATTTGATCTTGGTCTGTAGAGAGAGAAATAATCTGCGAACATAGATTGAAATGCACATAATCTTAGAATAATTTCTTAATGCGCATGTGAACGCCATCAGAGTTCGCATTAAAGTCTGTGTAGAGAGAACGGTGTCGTCTTAGAGGCCCCTAATTTAATAACTAATGAACGTTGCGACGGTAGTGAATTAATCACAACTAACTTTAGCTAGAAAAAGCTAGATAAATAGCTAGATAATACCAAGTAATATCCATTTGTCTCTGTAAAGCTGCTTTGAAACAGCCTACACTGTTAAAAGCGCTATATAAATGAAGATGACTTGACTTGACAAAAATTTAATATTCAATAAATGCTTTTGAACACTTTTCTTCTGGCATGCTGTACTTTAATGTTTTAACTATAATTGCTTATCATGATAGCTGAATATTAAATGAATAGATGAATAATTGTCTGAGAAAATAGCTTCGTGCAAATAATGCACAACATGGTCTAAATCTATTTCAATTAAAAATACGCCCGTGGAAAAGACTGAGAAAAATAAATGTATTTTACACTATTTCATTTATTTATTTAAAAAAAAGGCAACTAAATTATTTTTATTAATGTGACGTGACGCACATCCATATTTCATATTGACTAATGTCTTGTAGGCTTCCTACCGGTAAACATGTTAGATGATCACGTGGATGAATAAGCATATGCAAATGATATGCAGATGAGGATATGCATAGTAAAACTAGGCATTGTAAGCTCCTTATATGGTTATTTCGGGGAGGAGACGCATGTGCGCACAATCTTCCGCTGACTCTGGCTGACTGAGATTTATAAAGAGAATGTTGCGCAGGTTCTGGCGTACGCACGGTTTTATAAGTCTGAATATTTTTTTGCGCATGCCATTTTTGGCTTTCGGGCGCACGTACACTTTTAGTAAGGATCCTACGTACAGTTTTATAAATGAGACCCCAGATCCTGCTAAAATATGACACAATAATCTGAGTGTAAGAAAGTGATATACAGGTTGAGACGATATAGGTTTTGTGTTGTGACAAGATGTTTTTTGACCCTTAATGATTTTTATTCTATTTTATTACCAGCACAAGGTAGCGTGGCACAAGAGAGTATTTCAACTGTTAACTCTATCGAAGACAATGAAGAACCATCTTCCAGATCAGCCTTCAGAGATCCTCCTGATGACCTAACAACTGAACTACATGGCAATGCTGAGTATGATCCATCTCAATTATTTGAGGAAGCTCTCCCTGATGTGGGGGATTGGACATATGATGATGGACATTTGTTCAATGAGGGATTTGAAGAGGGTTTGAGTGAGGACTGTGCAGAAGAGTCAAGGACACAACACACAAACCATTATATGAGAATGCATCAATAACTGTTGCAGAGAGCCTTCTGATCATCATGGCTTACGTAAACTGTCATAAAGTAACTGATAAGGCCCTTAGTGATTTGCTTAAAATGTTTGTTTGTACAAAGTTGGTTTGTCCTGATAGTCTGAATACAGACTGCTTAAACAGTGTACAGAAGTTAAAAGACTTTTTTTTCTCACATGCTGCATCATCTCCTATTGTATTGCATAAATATTGCAGTACTTGTTTTGGGTCATTAGAAGGTGAACAATTACAATGTCTATCTTGTGGGACCAGTGTGTCAGAAGAAAGCTCCTCATCCTTCATAGAGGTTCCAATTGATGCTCAAATAAGGTCATTGTTTCTCAAGCCAGGTTTTCAGGAGAAACTTAACTTTAGATTAAGCAGGAAGAAGACAGATCCTAACAACATTGAAATATATATGATGCAGAAATTTACAAACAGCTTGTAGATGGGGGTGGTCCTCTTAGTGACCCTAAAAACATCTCACTTACTTGGAACACAGATGGGGTACCTATTTTCAAATCGTCCAAGTTTTCAGTGTGGCCTTTTTATTGTATCATCAATGAACTGAGTTTCATGGAACGCACAAAAAGAGAGAATATGATATTTGCTGGACTTTGGTATGGGGACTCAAAACCATCCATGGTTACATTCCTTAGACCACTAGGTGACACACTGAGTAAACTTGCAGATGATGGAATTCTTGTGCAACCTGCAGAGTTGACATCTGAACCTTTTGTGTGTAAAGTGCTCACCATTGCTGGAACATGCGACTTACCTGCTAAAGCATTTGTCCTTAATTCAGTGCAATACAATGGGAAATTTGGATGTCATAAATGTGAGCAGCCAGGAGAGACTGTAAAGACAGGGGAAAGGGGACATGTTCATGCATTTCCATACCAACATAGAGATCCAAAAGGCCCACTGCGCACAAATGAAAAGTTTGCTCTTGATATGAAAATCTCAAATGAGACCAAAACCCCCGTTAAAGGGGTGAAGGGTCCCTGTTGGCTTAGCAAACTTAAATGTTATAACCTTATCAAAGGCACTGCCATAGATTACATGCACTCAGTCCTTCTTGGAGTAATGCGCCTTCTGATGGTTCTGTGGTTTTCTCCAGAGTTTTCTCGTCAGCCCTTCAGCATGGCAAAAAATGCAAAGGAAATTGACAGGCGATTTCAGGATATCTCTCCTCCATCCTCCACTCGATATCCTCGATCAGTGACATCTCACAGAATGTTTTTTAAAGCATCAGAATATCGGGATATTTTGATCTTCTATGGACCTGTTGTTTTCCGTGGAATTCTTGCAACACTGTACTACCAGCACTTCCTTCTACTAAGTGAAGCCATTTTCATTTTGTTGATGGAATCCATATCAGTTGAACAGATTGATCATGCAGAGAAACTACTGTGGAACTTTTGTTCCCAAATGGCTAATCTATATGGTGAGCGGTACGAAACTGCAAATGTACACCTTCTTGTGCACCTAGCATACAGTGTGAAGGCCCTCGGTCCATTATGGACTCATTCGTGTTTCCATTTTGAGGACAAGAATGGCTATTTGTTAAGGCTCATACATGGCACTCACAATATAGCTATGCAGTTGGTCCATGCAGTCAAACTTGTGCAGTCTATTCCTGTTATCTCACAAATCATAAAACCAGGGAATGCCATAGCTACACACGGATGACTAAAGATGATAGTTTCTGTCAGGAAAACAATGATTTGTCTAGGACCAAACTATATGGAGCATCTAGTGAACTTCAACTGGACACAGTTCAACTCTCTACATTGGAAAGACATACTGGTCATTGCATCAGTTCCAAAACAGTAAGGATCTTTCACAGGGCACAAGTTAAGAGAAATTATCTCACATCAAAACACTATGGGAAAGGCAATAGAAGAAACAATTTTACAGTCGTTTTTTCTAGTGATGGACAAAGAAAGTATGGACAGATTGAGTTCTTCTTTACCTCAGAACATTCATATGCCAAATGGGCCCTTGTTCATGAATTCAAAGATGCTGGTTTTTCTTTGCTGCATGATAGTGTAACAAATGGTACATGCAGTCATGTTGTTCCCCTATGGGAAACCTCTGTTAATACAGTAGTTTCCTTGGTTCATATATTGGGTAAAGTTGTTTTCTTTGACTTGACATCTATGCCTGGCATTGTTTTTGCAGCTAATTTCCCAAACACACTTGAAAAGTTTTAACCCCTTAATATTGGGTTTATACTGGATGCAACAGTGGGTCATGGTCAGGGTGTGTGGTGGCAAGATGAATTGCCTCTATTGTATTATCAGGGTGCTTGAATGAATTGAATTAAAACAGCATGTGCTCTATTATGTGTTACACACTCTTTTACTGCTCTATACAATAGAGCTTTGCTGTGAATTCTGTCAGCATAATGTCAACATTTAGAAAGTTCACAAAGGTGTCTTTTGAGCACATCATGGCTTATGTTTTGATGGGTTACGTTTTGGA